ATCAAGTCTTTCAAAATAACTTGTATTCTCAGGGAACTGTTAGACAGGTACTCACGTTGGGAATTCAAAAGATGGAGCAGTATAGCTTCAAGCCTTGTTTTGTTAATTTCTTATGTATTCTATGTTTTGTGAACACTTGTAAACACTTTCTTTCTAATGAAATGGTTGTTTATTACTTTGATTACTATGATGCATGTCTTGTGATACTAAACATGACATCCTGCACCCCCGAACATTTCCGCCGTTCCAGTTTTGGGGTGTAACATTACTTGACTAGAACAAAGTCATGGCTGCCAAAAGGTGGCCTTCTTGAGCCCCTAGAGCTCAAGAGATGCTAGATCCGAGATATGGCTCAGTTACAAAGCTCCATCACTAGGGATTTGGGGGTTTTAAGCTCAAAAGCATCAATTTGGGGACAAACTAGATCTAGTAGTACAATAATCAAGATGAAAGCTTTATTACCAGAAAGGATGGCCAAAGAGGAGTATAATCTGGATCTACTTCTTCTTCCTTGAGTTCTTTTACCTTCTCCTTCTTCTTCTTGCTCAACAATACACCAAAAATTCCTTTACAAGGGCAAAGATCACTCACACACACTTCAAGGAGGCTAGGGTTTCTGGAATAAGTCTCTGAGACGTGAAGAAGGTTGGCTTGGGGCTATAATGATGTTTAAATAGGGTACACACCCTGGAAATTAGGGCTTCATCCAGACTGGCGGACTCGCCGAGTCTGGAATATGGACTCGTCGAGTTGCCACGCCAACTTCACGTGCTGACCCGATGCTACTCGACGAGTTAGGGGCCACTGACTTGTCGAGTAGCTTTTAAAATAAGAAGAAAAATAATATTTTAAATGCGTACCAGGAACGGGGCGTTACAACTGGGATGCATACATTGGGAGTACCTAGAGGTACGATGCGCGTATGCAGTTAATGCCCCACTTTTGGTCAATATAGCGTACTCTCTTAGTACGTAGGGCGTACTCTGTTGGGAAGGGGTATTGACTTTTGGGCCTTGGCCATCGACCTTGACTTTGACCAGGGTTGACCAAGTTTGACTTAAGGGGTATTTTGGGTATTTTGAGCTATAGTCAAGCCTTGGTCTCTATCTGTTGAATGGGTGACCTGTAGAGTTGGTATTCCGAACAATGTATTTTTTGGTTGTTCATCATACTGTGAGGTGAGTTTCCTTAGTGTTCTTGTGAATCGAAGGCACCAATGCTGGCCCCTTTAGTTATGTATCCTGGTATATAGGATGTTCCTATACGATAGTGATTTGTAGATCTGTATGCTATTATGTTGACTGGTTATATGATTATTCGTTGCCAAATATATGTTATGTGTTATGTATATGTCGACATGGTAGGGTGGGATTGAGATTGTACTTCTTGTACTGTAAGTCAATAGACCAGGGCATTCCAACTGGAAAGTTGTGGGTCGGGGCATTCCAACCGAAAGGTTATGGGATGTGGGTAATTCAATCAGGAGGTTATGGACCTATTATGTATTGGGCAAGCCAACATAAAGGTTGTGGGCAGGGGCATTCCAACTGAAAGGATGTGGGCCAGGGGTCATCCAACCAGGATGTTGTGGACCCGTTATAAATTTGATTATATATTGTGTGTTTGGTTTTTTTATTTGGGGGGGGGGGGACTCATTAAGCTTTGGCTTACATTTTTAGTTTATGGTTTCAGGTACTTCTAATGATCGTGGGAAGGTGAAGGCGTGATCGTACACAAGTTCCTGTTTTTATGGCATTGGGTCTTAGGAAACTCTGATTTTGAAATAATGTTTTTGGAAACAAAGACTCTTTGTAAACAATGATGTTAAATGGTTGATTCCTAAAAAAAATTCATTGATTTTTGGGATGTTACAAAAAGCTATTCAGAATGAAGACCACGACGTGGCAAATGAGGGCCATGATATCGTGGCAAAACCTATTGTGTATGATTGAGAAGTGTCTGAGATCTCCACCCAAGATTTTGAATCTCTTTGAGGTTGGTTGGTCTTTATCTGGAGGATCATATTGCGTTGTGTTATCCATTCTAAGAGTAAGGGATGGTATGTATCTGGTTGAGCCGATTTGGGATTTGGTTTGTTATAATGTCAATTGGTGGTAGTTTGAATCCTAAGTGGGGAAGAGCATATTTTTGCTTGGAGGATCATCGATATGCTTGATTTTATGGTTTCAGAATAATGGATCATAAGAATCTGAAGTTTGAGTATGCGAGACTTTGGTTCAAGAGTTGGTCAAGACAAGGGTACATATCAAGTTGCCCTCAGATGTATGTGCTCAGGAATGCATGAGTTGTCTTCGCAGTGGGAAGTTGTTGGAGCTTGTTGTAGCCGGTAGTTCCCTTCAACAACGCCGATGAATAGGTCATGAGGCGTTTGGGTGGCTCAAGTTGAGTATCGGTTGTAGAGGGATTTGGCAGCTGGTTGTATAGATTGATATCTATATTCTAGGATGGATAGTTATTGATTGGTCAATTGGATTCAAAGTTCGGTGTGTTTAGTTCCACATAGCCTTTTTTTAGTAGTGTATTGCACTAGTAGATTATTTGTCAATGCATTCTCAATCATTGGTATTTTCGTTCATTGTCAATAACAGAGGTTCTTCAAAAGCTCAAGTTGTATTAGTTGAAGTTCAATGGATGACTCAACATATCATAAAGTTTTGTATGTTGTATATTTTTGGCTTCTGGGTATGTTTATCCTCAATTTTCAATTGTGGAATTATTGTTCATAGTAGGCTTGGGTTTGACAGATATCCTTGGTTATTTAGAGTCTGGATGTCGGAGCGGTGTTGTTTAGGTTTTTTTTTTCCAGGTGTAACTGTGGATCTACGCAGATTCCAATTTTGGCATGTCGTGTCGGCAGGGTTGGTATTTTGATTGATCCAACCAGGGTTTTAGCAATATTTATGGATAACTTTGGAGGTTTTATCGAGCTAGTTATGTATTGGTGGGATCTGTTCAGTTTCAATCAAGGTGTGGGATCCTGTTTTGGTCATTCATGAGGATGTTTTTGTTAGCGATTGAGGTTCATCATTTTATTAGGTATATTGGTGCTTCACCCTTTAGGTAAGATTATGAGGAAAAAGGAAAACAGTGGATCTAGGGTTGGGTATGTGTTTTACATAGGGGTATATATTTTAGTAATGCATCAAATACGGTAATGAGGGGTGTATGTGGACTAAGTAAGATATCATGAGAAAAACTTGGTCCATATTATTGGTATGGTTCTTATTTAGGCTGTAGTTTTTGAATTGGAACAAGAGTACAAACACCAACTCATTCCTCTAGTTGTATGTGACCATGTTTTTGTCTGATTTTGCATTGGTAGTAGTCTGTTCTGTTAAAAGAATTATGCCTTATAAAAGGGTATGGATCGTGTTGTGTTTGGTTAGTGCTGAGAGGGATGTTCATTGGGTTCATGCAAGTCGGTGGGTTGGTGGTTGAGTATCTTTAGGCACCTGTGGCGTTGGTTGTGAGTTTTCAGGCCAGTGATGGAATGATGACAATATCGATGTAGCACTGTGAGCTTATCGTTCTAGTGGTTAGAGGGTGTCACAATGTATCATGAACCAGTGGTTGTATGCCTTAAATGGGTGTGACCCAATAGTCATTTGATTGAGACTCTTAGGTATCGGATCATTAGTCTTATTGACATATATGTATGTTAGTACATTGTTGGGATTCAGGAGAGTTAGTGACCAGTTGGTTTGGATCATGTGGACAACAAAATTTTGTTGGGAGTATTAATTGTGCATTAGAAGTCTCTTGATGAATGTTTGCATTACGAACCTAGTTTGCTTGCACGCTATTTATTAGGAGTTTGGTTACCAATGATTGGGTATCAGTTCTAAATTCTCTAGACATGAACTTCGTAGTAAATGGCTCAATTGATTTGTCAGATGGATGTAAACTCGAGCTGATGAGGGGTTTGGATGCAACAAGAGATTTTTGGATGGATCATCATTATGCTTGTGGGAATAGTGGGCTGGTGATGACTTGCTAGAAAATCAAGTTTATTCTGATGGTCACACATACACGTTCATTCTCTTCTCATTAGCATATGCCATATCCAAAAATTCTTTGTAGTTACCATCGTTGACCAGTGTACGAATGCCTTGGTTTAACGATTCTTTTGGAAGGCATAAATACACATTTTCACTCTACGTTCTGGTGAGCTTCTGCAGGAAATCAATGAACTCTTCGTAATTAAACCCAATAAAGTCAACGTATCAAATGGATGCTCTATCGGGATCAAAGTCGACTAACGACTTTGGTGCAAACGTCCCATTTCCACTACAATGAACTTTCGACAACTAGGAGTTGATGATGATGCCATTCTTTAGAGACAATGGAAGGAGACGAAGAATTCGTGCCCTAATTAAGTTTAAGGAATAAATGCGATTTTGACTTCTATTTTAATGAGGGAGCACTCCACGTCATTTCCACCTAATACTCCTTTAATGGGTATTAAAGTTTAAACTTGTGACATTGGCTAAAACTTGTGATAAGTGTAACATTTATATTTTTTAACAGATTCAAGGGTTAATAACTTACGAAAAAAAAGTTTAGTGATCAAAAGCTATAGTACATTACCCTCTCAAGTCAATATACTCGAATGAAGTTTGAAACCGACAACAAAAAGACTACAAATTGTAAAATGATCAATGCTGATAAATGGAAATGTCTCCTCAACTATGATGCAAAATAAGAAAAACAAAAATGTTTTGAATTAAAATAAAAAATATTATATTAATTATGACTTTTGTGGTATTAATAGATTTAATTAAATCAATTATTTTTTTAGTAGATCATACAAAATGTATTTCATGAAACATGAAGATTTGGGAGGAGTATTTAAACTCGCCCGTTAATAGCCAGCCGCCCAAGAAACAAGAAGGGTAAAAGAAAACCAATCCGCACACAAACAACTCGAAAAGTCAAACGCTGCGAACCGCCGTCGGCCGTCCAAACAGCGCTGCCTCGGGATGGAATTCCCTTCGTTCAACCATCACCACCATCATAACAGGTACGTTCCTCCTCCTCCACCAACGAATTTCTCAGATGACCGTCCCAATCTTTACCCTCATCACCAGCAGCATCTTCTCCCATCACTTCATCTCCCCCCCTCCTCCGCCGCTTGCATACCCTTCCCTCCCTCCTCCACCGCCACCTCCGATTCCCGTCCCCCCTCCACCACTATCTTACAATCCCCACCAGTCTCACTTCACCTTTCTCGACGCTCAAAACCCCCTCGTTTTCCAATCACGGCCGCTCTTCCCCTCCCCAACCTAGGTTTTCCAATCAGTCTCATCGATTTGATTACCGAACGGATTCTTGGTCGGATTCGCATAGGGTTCCACCGGAACTGACTCACCGCAATCCTATTTTACCCGATGAGCACCATCGTCGCTTGTATTCACCTGATCCCCGGTCTGAAAATCATTATAAACCTCATGTTTCGGAACGCGTTATCCCTTCTAGTAGGTATAGAGACGAAAACATCATCAATGGATATGCCAGTAGGGATGGTAGTAATATTGTTTCACAGGAGCAACAAGTTTTCCGTGGCAGTTCCAATAATGATGACCATCAGGGTCGAATTATTGATCGTTATGCGTCCGCCCAAGCTACTGGTTGTAATTCTAGAAACGAGGATTTTGTGGAGAAGTATGAGCCACGTTACATGAGTAATTCCGAAAACGAGAGAATCTGGGATCATCATGGTGAAGATTCTAGACGGATTCATCAAATGAAGGGGAAGAAAAACGAATTTGGTAATAATGATGGGGTCTTATTTGTGTCCGGTAGAGAGCAATCACGTGATTACGAATATGAATCCAGTAGGGTGACTAGGGTTAGGGAAGGTAGGGAAGAGTTTAAGCAAGTACAGAAGAGGAGTGTTTTACTTAGGATAGGCAAACCTAACAATACTAATAGGAACAGAAGCCATGATCAACATTTCTCTAAAGCTCACATGGTTGAATCAAATAATAGTAATTTTAGGGGTAAAGATAAAGATAGAGATCATGCAGGTAAGGATTCTAGCTTGTACGTGGATCATAGGGTGGAGGGAGACAGAGAGCACAGCCCTGTAGAACTCGATGTGTCTTTTAAATCGAATGCCCTAGTAGCCAAGGCTGTTGTAACACCCTCGAGTCCTGTGATTGGTAATAACAACACACAGCTTAGGAATAAAAAGACTAAGAGAGGCTCTGAGTTTAATTCACCATTAAAAAGATCGGGAAGCTCCTCCAATGGGTTAGACTGTCCTTCTAGTTCTGAAAAGGCTCCAAAACAGCAAAAGCTTAGCCTTAAAGATCCAGTTTTAGGTCAGGGTGCTGCCACTGGACCCTTGTCATTTAGGCTTAAGAAGAAGAGGAAACTCATTAACTTTAAAAATAGCCCAAGTGTATCTATTTTTCAGCTGGCAGAGAAGGATAACAAATCTGTCAAGGGCCAAAACAAGAATTCCCCAAGTGCAGAATCTACCATTCCATCCACTTTAGAAGAAGTGATTTCCAGTAAAGTGGTTTCAGAGAAAGATAGCTCAGAAGTTGAGAAGTTAGTATCTAAAATAGATGATGGTCTGGTGAATGATCTTATCCAAAATGAAGTCTCATTGAGTCTTGAAAATGATACTCAACAGGTATCCACAGATGCTAAGGTTGCTGGCACTCCTATTTCTGCTTCATGTGGGCAGGATCAAATCGAAATTCAGAACTGCCCCACAGAATCTTATGCCAGTTTTGATGCCTTTTCAGCCGATGAGAATGTGAATATGAACAATGAATCTGTCAAAATCCAAGAAATGACTACTTCTGCTTGTTCAGATGAGATTATTAATCTAGTCCCTGAGAATGGTAACACAGTAGGTTTTCTTGATGGTGTATCAAGAAAAAAAGAGGAAACCCTATTCCCTGAAGATGGTACTCAAGAAACTCCAAATGCCATTACCATTCTTACTGGTAGAAGCTATGAGGCTTCAGAAATTCAGTCCCCTGGTGAGAAACTACAAAATGTAAATAGTTCAATCAAGGTAATTTCATCAGATGAAGATGAAATTGTCGAAATTGTAGAGTTAAATTCTGAATCAGTCGAGACACAAAGACCTGACCATAGGGAGCCTATGCTTGAAGCTGAATTTGTCGAGTTAAATTTTGAATCACAAAAACCTGAAGATGAAGTCGTGGAGATTGTAGAGCTAAATTCTGAATCAACTGACCATAGTACAGATGAAATACCACCCTCATCGAGTATTCTTTCTAGTCGGCCTGATGAGAAACCAGGGGAACCTATCCCTGATATGCTAACCAGTATAGTTTCTGGTTTTCCAAAAGATGAAACAACATGTAATTCTAATTTGGGTAACAATGATGTAAATATTTGTGAAAAGTTTGTACCTGAGCCTGAGGATGGTGGTGATACATCTTCCAAAACTAGTGGTATAAAACCAAGTCATTTGTCAGGAACCAAGACAGCCGCCACATCAACATCTCAGGGATTGAATAACAAAATGCCAATTAAGAGACCCAACCCAACAGTGTTTGCCACCCGCTCATCACCAGTCTTCACCAATTCAAGAGTGAATAAGCCCCCTCGAACTTGGCATCGATCTGTGAACAATACGTCTTCCATTCCCCGACCAACCAAACAAGTTGGAGCAGTTCAGAATGCTTACATCCGTAGTGGCAACACGCTTGTTAGGAAAGCCAGCCCTGTAACTACCATTTCCAGATCTTCCATATATCAGTTCAATCCTTCAGGCCCAACCCCAACTGAGACAAGAACAGGTGCTGTTGTGAGGCCCAAAACACCACCACTATCAGGTTATACTGCCACCAAGTTACCCGAATCTAAGGTTTTGCCATCTTCGCCACTGGAAGACCCCGAAACCCACAAGTCACTAGATGAAGGAGGAACTGCAGGAAAGAAGATAGAATATGTTAAGCCAAAATCCAACCAGCTGGTTGCAGCCACAACTAGTGCTCAGGAGTTAGACAAGTCTTCTGATGGATACTATAAGAGGAGGAAAAATCAACTTGTTAGAACATTGGTGGGTGATGACTCAGTCCCAGATGTGAGGAAGGCTGCTAAAGGTTTGTCTTCAATTTCTCCATTCTTTTACATATATAATAAGTTACATAAACATGCAATTCAAAATCAGTATTAGACCCATTTCCTTTTCTTGATGTTTTGTGAAAATAAACTTTTTTTTTCTTCTTATGTATAATTAATTTACAGGTATGTTTAAGAAGTATAGAAATTCGAGATTCTCTTCAGTCTGGACGCTTGGCGCTCAATCATTGGGAAAAGACGGTGTCTCATTACGTCAGAAGCTTAGGCCGCATCTGTTTCCATGGAAAAGAACAAAATTTTGGGGATATGCTTCAGCTTCTATGCACAGTAACAGCTCGTCATCTTTGCTTAGGTATATCTGCATCATGAGTTTTTTTTTCCCCCCCTTCATATCAGTTGGCTCTAAACCCTATATTTTATTTATTTATGTTTGAGAAATTGTGATTTGATTGTTGTTCCAGTCGCAAGTTGCTTGTTTCAAGAAAGCGAGAGATGATCTACACAAGGTCAAAGCATGGGTTTTCTCTCCGCATGTCAAAGTTATTAAGTGTAGGGGGGTCGGGTTTAAAATGGTCAAAATCCATAGAAAAGAACTCAAAACAAGCTAACGAGGTGTGTACTATTTATTTATTTATAATTAGTTGTATGGATATTTGTTTGAACTGTAATTATGGTGTATTTTAGGAAGCTACGCTTGCAGTTGCAGCAGCTGAGAAGAAAAGGAGAGAGCAGCAGCATCTTAAGAGTAGGAATAATAATAATAATATGTCGAGTAAGTCAGTAAGAGGCAGCCTCCTGGTAGGCCAGAATATTAGATGGATGCTTGAGTAGACGTCTATGTGTGCGGCAAAGGCAATCAAATCTCATTTAAAAATTGCATTTTTTTATTATTTTTTTTATGTGGCAGGAGATCGAATATTTCGTATTGGCCTGGTCAGATACAAAATGGACCCTTCAAGGAGGACCCTTCAAAGGATTTCAGGTGGTTCAGTCCTGGTTAATAAATAATAGCATCATATTCATACCTGCCTCACTTGCTTCTTGATGGCTAAATGTATGACTCGAATTGAATAGATGTCAATTTGACAAAAATTGTCCCACCTAAAATAAAAAGGTGGAACTAGTCTGTGCAAAAGACGTGATATCCTCATCATCGAAAATTGCCTTAGAATGCTTCTTCATTTCATCCAGCCTTATTCTACTTGTGGGAGATTGGATAGGAGTTGTTAACACAATGTTTATGCAAACATACATGTATTTACACACATGAATACATAATACATATAAGAAATGTTGACTTGTCCCAGAATGAGAAATGCTTTAGACACCATCTATTTTAAGAATTCTTCATCTTGTCAGGAATGCGAGGATAACTATATATATATATATATATATATATATATATATATATATATATATATATATATATATAGTTCCTAGGCAATGATATGCTAACTTTCTCAAGACTTGTTTGATATTTTTTCTTGACAAAATAGAACTCTTACATACCATTCATTACCCCCTATATCCCTATGACTATGATCCGTATAGTTCAGGAAAAGCCACACAGGAAGATTATGTACAGACACTGACACAGTGTGGGAATGGGAACTACTTTGCTATTTACATACTCTTTCTTTTCACTCTCATTTGATGCCTATGACTGCAGGAAAAATACATTATTAAACCTATTATAGCTTATGTGCACAGTTGCAATCAGCTCCTGTTTTAACATGATTATAGTTGGTATTAATAACCTCATATCCAACTAACTCAATATAAAATAAAAAAATAAACTTACAAATCTGATGTTGTCTTGGCGGAGTTTACAGTGTTGCTATATAGGATCAGGATGTGGGTATACCTATAAGTTTATTGCTGTATTTATTTAGTATTTAGCCTATAATTTTTATTCATATGGTCTTTAAGTTGTTCTGAAGTTCTGAAGTCCTGTTAGTTAGTTAGTTAGTGGCCACTGAGAAAACCACTAGCAGACTTATAGAGCAATCTTTTGCCTAATCTTACTGATTTGGTTAATGCTTTAGGTGTAACTTGATACTTGTAGGTAGAGTTTGATCAGGAAAGAATTGAAGGATTCTACCACTGTTTGTTTTATCTGATAGAATGGAATGAAATGAAAGTTTACAATACAACATATTTTTATTTAAAAAAACCCAGATCCTAGTTTAAATTTCATGATTTTACCAAAAACAAAAAAATTATTTTTTGGAAAATATATTCTTTACTAGAATCTTAGTTGGGTGGTTTGGATGAGCTTTTCTTATGTTTTTTATATATAGTTGTAAGCAAAAGTATCATTTAAGCATAGTTAAATAATTTATTGGATTTAAAATAAAAAGCGAAAATGTAACGAGTCATTCATTTTGCTTTTGCTTATTCGATTCCATCTTAACTCATATGATATGCAGATGAGGAACCTTCAACTTCCAAGAGTTCAAAAGAAGAGACGAGGAGGAGGTCTTATGTGCCAAAGAGATTGCTGATCGGCCATGATGAGTATGTTGTGATTATAATTTATCGTGTGGATGTATTATTGTTGGTTTTGGAAGATATGATTAGCATAGAAAGTTGTAATCTTTTTAAGGTGTGATTGGCATTGGCAGGTATTTACGTATTGGAAATGGTAACCAACTTGTTAGAAATCCAAAGAGACGGACATGTCTGTTTGCTAATGAGAAAGTTCGATGGAGCTTGCACACAGCCAGATCAAGGTTGGCTAGAAAGAAAAAGTATTGCCAATTTTTCACAAGGTTTGGCAAATGCAACAAAGATAATGATGGGAAATGTCCCTACATCCATGATTCATCTAAAATTGCAGTTTGCACCAAGTTTTTGAAAGGTTTATGCTCCAATCCACATTGCAACTTAACTCATAAGGTAAGCTTTATTTACTCATTTTCCTCATCCTCATAATAAATAGCAATGTGCTTTGACTGGTTTCTTTATTACATCATCCTACTCCTACAAACAATTTTCAAAGTATAATGTACAATTTGAGTTCGCCGTACGTAATAATGGGGTAGATTTTTTATTTTCAAAATGCAATTCTTTTATAAAACAAAAACGCAAGTGCAATGCTGTTCTCAAAGTAGGATTAAACAAGAAAATGGAAGTAGGCTGTTTTTTGCATTTAGTTTCGTATAAAAGTCCACTCTACTCATGTTTCATCCATGTAACAAACATACCCTTCTTACACGTCTGTCTTTAGGAAGTTAGTTTCTGTTTTATGCTTTCTTATTGACATTTTTAGCTTTGATGATGTTTTTGTTCCAGGTCATACCTGAAAGGATGCAAGATTGCTCTTATTTTCTGCAAGGTGGGTTTACTTTTTATGGCTTTCACCTATATATATATATATATATATATATATATATATATATATATATATATATATATATATATATATATATATATAGGGAAGGGTTATATGGAAAATAAACAATTAGGGCAACACATGTTGGAACCAATGAAAGGATGACAACACATCATTTTGGAATAACTACATAAATAACTTCCATAGTAGATTGCTTATGAATAAAGAAATGGACACGTGTCACTTGATCATTGGTTCCAGCATATGTTGCCCTAATTGTTCATTTTCCATTGAACCTACTTCTATATATATATATATATATATATATATATATATATATATATATATATATATATATATATATATATATATATATATATATTATGAGATGAAAATTCTAAACTAAGTTTGTGGCAGGAGTGTGCTCAAATGAACATTGTCCTTATAGACATGTAAACGTGAACTCAGCTGCCTCTGTTTGTGAAGCTTTTCTCAAGGGTTATTGTGCTGATGGCAATGAGGTAGTCATGGAGTGGATATCCTATCATATCATCATCTCTCATTTTACTAATTTTCTTTCATATTGGGGTGGGGCTAGGAATCAAACTTTACATCTTAAAAAATATTCTTATAGAGAACTAATAAATATGAAGCTGAAGCCTGAAAAGATATTCAAACAAAAACTAATGAACATCAATATGGCTATAACTTCCTTCTAATAAAGATGTAATATCTTTATTCTTTCTGCCTTGCCTATGCCTATGCCTGGCCAGACCTTGTGTCAAATGTTATATATATATATATATATATATATATATATATATATATATATATATATGTAATAGAATAGTGTGAGGGTTTATGCTCTCCTTAAGAAGAAGATATAATGCAAGAAATAGCAAACTATTTTGTTGTATTTATTTCTTTATGATAGCTAGCATCTTTGATTTATCTCTATTGCAAGAAGATTATACTTGGAGTTTTCCATTTGTACTTTAAAAAACTGCCCAAAAATAGCATTTTTTCCCGTATTAAGAGTAAAATACCCAGCTAAATATGAAAGTAGGATGTGATGCTATAATAATAAACAAATAAATGGAAGTATGTGTGATACAATTTAATATAGAAGGTTATTGTGGTTTGAGTTATTTGTGTTAAGGTAAGGCATTGTAGTTTGAAATATTTATCTAGGCTAGTTTTATAGCAATGAATCTGGAAAGGATAGTGTCTCTAGAGTTGGTGATAATGAATGGGTTAATCACACACACACACACACAAGACAAGACATGCATGCACACACGCACGCACCGATATTTAATTGTGTAAAATGGATCATATCTCTAACTTGCAGTGTCGAAAGAAGCACACGTATGCATGCCCAGCATTTGAAGCCACAGGCGAATGTTCTCAAGGCACAAATTGCAAACTTCATCATCCTAAAAACCGAAGCACAGGATTGAAGAGGAAACACCAAAACCAAAAAACCCAGAAACACTCCAGGGGCCGTTACTTTGGGGCAGTTGGTGGGGGTGGGGGTGAGGGCGAGGAGGCTGAGAGACAGCATCATTTCAATTTAAAGGATATCTTATGCCAACAAGGAAAATTAGGTGCTGATTATATCAGTATAGATTTTGGGGATGGGGTAACTGATGAAACAACAGTGGTAACTAGTGAAGAATACCCTTTATATTTAGTAGGTGAAGAAGAAGAAGAAGCCCATCTTGATCTTGATCATCTCACAAAGCCTATTGGAATAATGAAAAACTTCAACTTACATACACCTCACATGGCATGATACTGGCAGCTCAGCTGGAAGGACACCAAAATGATGGGATACTTGGAGAGGAGGAAACATAATGAAAATCCAGAAAGCAGTTGATTGTTTTGTGTTTTAGTTATATGTAGACTAGTAGTAGGGTCATAGGAAATAGATGATAGATATCATGTTTTGTAGATCAACTTGTTCAATAGAATTTGAAGCACCTTCTTATATATAACATTGTTTTTTGTTTCTCTTGTATAAATTGATACTTTGTTTTTGTTTGGTTTCTAAAAGAATCTTTAGTTTTGGGTCGTCCTTTAATAGATTTCTCAATCTTTGCACATGCAACTGCGCTTTCATTTCATATTTAGATCAAATTTCTCATCCGGGTCTTAAAAGAATGTAGCTTTAGCCTCTAGTTAATCAATTTGCATCATTTTTGTATTTCATGGCATTATTCCCTATAAATTATGGCATTTTGAGGCATGCAAAGTCATGAAGTCAATAACTTTATGGGTCTACATGCTCCATAAGAAGTAGATTTGTGGTTTGGACTCCTGATCTAGAGCATTAAGTGCTTGATGTTGAAAATGGGCTTAATGGAGTACTCCCTGTGTACCTGACTTTTGGCCTTTTGGGCTTCGTGTTTGGCTTCCTTTTTTGGGCTTGGGTCGGTTCTTTTGGGCCATTTGAGTATGAGTGTCTTTGACTAGGAATTTTGGTTGGGCTTAGGGTAAGGTCCATGTAAGGGTTTTGAGCCCAATTTGGAAATTTAGGCCATGATTGGACCTTGGTTGGTTATTTGGGCCTTTGGGCATTTCAGGTTATGAGTTTGGGCATTGGTCTTGGACCAAACTAGGTTTGGCGTAAAATTGTATTTTTACCCCGAGTATGGATTAATAGTTATAGTTTGGAACCCAATTGATAATTAGGTGTTGTTTTATTTTGTTATTGACAGTTTAGAGAACCTGTCATCCAGCAGCCAACAATCGTGTGTGTGTTTCGGCAATGTGAGGTGAGTCTCCTCACTAGGTTTAGAGGGTGGAAGGCACCAACGCAAGCCCATGGTTTTATGTTCGGATGCTAGGTGTCTGTTCGAATCTTGCGTGCGTTATATGATAATATGTTTACCGGACAAGGCCCGATGCCGGGCGAGGCCCGAGGAGGATATCGTATGTTAATTATCAATATATGTCTTATGATTACCGGGCAAGGCCCGATGTCGGGCGGGGCTCGATGATTATGTGGAATGTTATAGTCTTTGTGATTATTGCATGTATTAGTAGGTTTTATGTTTATATGATTATATGCTTATATGACTATGTGTGTATCGGGCGGGGCCCAGTATCAGGCGGGGACTAGTGAATGATAGATCTATAATCCGAACAGGGTTCGATGTCTGGCGTGGCTTGAGGCCGAGTGGGACTCGAGACCGGGCAAGGCCCGACGGAGGGCTGGGGCCCAGTATGTGATTTATGTATGTGTGGTATGTACTATCTTTGTAACATTCGGATTCTCAGGTATATTATTTGATTCATTTATTTTGGAGTTTGTTGAGGGACTCGACGAGTTGGTGCTTAGACTCGCCAAGTAGGGTAGCGGATTCTTATCCGAGTTCATGACTGGACTCGGCGAGTCCATGAGTGGACTTGGCGAGTCCACGCTGTTTAATGAAACTCTAAATTCCCGGGTTTGAGACCTATTCAAAGGCCCTTAGGGCCGTCATTTGCGGCTACCAAACCCCAGAGAGAAACCCTAAGGGATCTAGAGCGTTTGTGAGGAAGGAGAGGCCACTTTTGATCATTTTGTTGGTGTGATTGCAAGAAGGAGGTGACCAAGGCAAGAGGAGGCCGAAGGAGGAGCGATTCAGGTGATTACAGAGTTCAGAGACTTCATCTTGAGGTATTTATTCGGACCTTCTTCAGATTTGGTGTTGATTCTTAGAGTTAGGGTTTCCTAACCCCTTTAGAGAATGAATATGTGGAGCAATTGGTCCCTTCTCGAGTTTATGCTTTGGATCTGGACTCAAAGAGGTCCAGAGACCTTAACCCTTGGAGCTTTATGAGTTATTTTGGGAGCCATGAACATAGGAAGTTATTTTTGGGGCTAAATCACCAAGTGAGACCATCTAGATGCTATATGAGTGTCAAGGTCTGAACTTTACGTGATTATCATGCTTGGGAAGGTCAGATCTATGGACCAAAGGAACAAATCTGACCTCAGGAGGTCAATTGAGTTTGTGCATGGCATGAGCTCGCCGAGTCCAAGGACAGACTTGACGAGTAGGATTAGGGTTTCCCGTAAATCACTCAGCGAGTAGACCGCCGAGTTAGGGGAATAACTCAGTGAATCAGAGAGGGATTAGAGGACTAGAGTTCAAGATGGAACTCGCCGAGTTGATCTTGAGACTCGGCGAGTTGAGTCGGGGTAGCCCCGCGATTCATGCCAGGTGTGACTCGTCGAGCAAGGGGAGGGACTCGACATGCCAAACAAGACTAGGGAGTTAGTGGACACGTGTAGACTCGCCGAGTTGCCCAAGTGCACTCGACGAGTCAAGTCAAAGTTTGATTGTTGACTTTTGTTGACTTTTAGGGATTGGTCAACAATGGGGCCGTTGAGCCAAGAGAGGGGTAAAATGGTCTTTTACCCTTCTGAGGATGCCAAGAGAGAGTTGAGTCTAGTCTCGAGAGTTATATTTATGAGAGTATTTACCTTATGTTGTCACACCCCAAAACCGATAACGGCGGAATACGTTTCGGGGTGGAGGACGCCATGTATAGTATCATTACAATTGCATAATAGTAAAAACAAGAAACATACAACCGTTTCATTACATAGTGAGTTTAATTACAAGTGTGTTCTGTAAAGTTTCAATAGACACCAAAAGTAATACATAAACAAAAGATGGATCTTGTATGCTCCATCTTCTCCAAAATGTTGCACCTGTACCTGTCTATCTTTGACCTAAGGATACAAGTTATTTTGAAAACGAGTATCAGCATAAAGCTGGTGAGTTCATAAGAATTTAGTGTAAATTTTTGTATAAAATGCGTTAAAACTTATAGTGTGAAACACTGCAATTTACATTTATAAGTAGTAGAAAACTCTACAAAATCCTATATTTTCCTGAAAATACATCGCAAGTGAAAAACTCTAAGTTGCATGTAAGTCTTATCATTGAAAACCGTTTGTTGTAAAAGTGTGGTACTAAAATCTCCAGTATGTAGTGTAGATAGAGGAAAAGTATGCCTGTTGTCAGTATTAATGGTGTAAACTCCCATTAGTAATAGATACTTGTTTACTTCGGGATATTAGCTTAGACTTTAGTCTTAGTATTTTAGTGTGGATACCGTGTATTCCTTTTATGTGACCAATAGTGTGAACAATAGAGGATCCCATGACCTTCCCGGTCATACATAGTGTAGTGAAGTAGTGCCATCCCTGGGCTTGTTCGGCTCGGACTGAGGTTAACAGTCGGGATATAATAGTGTTTGCCCCGTATAGATCTATACATGTAGCGTCGCCTTCCTTCTGGAAAGCTCTGGTCACAGTAGGTAGCGCGTAGAGTATCTGGTAGAGAGTTAGTGTGCTATCTTCCGGATTAGTGCTTTCTCTTGTAATATAGTGTAGTAGTCTTTGATGTAGTTCATAGTGTGTTCTCTTATTCGTGTATCATTTTGTAATAGTATGAATTATAGTATGTATAATAGTAGCGGTAACGAGTAGTAGTGGCCTTAACTATACCTATTATAGTTAACTTAGTGTGTATGGTTCTTGGTAATTAAGTAATATAGGCATCAAATTAGATGAAAATGCTCGTACCTAACACCAATATACATGATATATAACTAATAAATCAACGACAGTCGGACGGATAACAAATACCCTAAGCCCACAATCAAACAAGAACAGGAAATAAGGCGAGCTATCAGTCCTAAGTCCTTCAAGTCTTACTTATATAAATATATTAGTGTAGATACATTTTATAAGAAAAGTAATTTAATAAAAATCTTAACCAAAGAAAGCATTTAGAAAATAGTTTATTTATCCAAAGTAGTTTTGAAAACGTAAAGTTCTTTTATAAAGCATAATGATAAATCACATGTTATTTGAACTATGGGTAGTAAATCACATGTGATTCACTTCCATAAAAATGTATATTTGACTTGTATCCCCCCCCCCCCCCCTAAAACATATGAAAACATTAGAAAGTTTTATTAAGGGGTATGAATTCACCTGAAATCGAGTAAATTGGGTAAATCGGGTGGAAGTGTCGGTTGAACGTTTGGTGTCAATTAAGGACTTGTATGCCTTTCAAGACCCTATTAACATATGAGATATATGTTTTACAAGTAATTAGTCACTTATACTTTTTATTAAAACATTTACATATCCTAAAATCAATTCGAGGTCTTATGGGTTAAAAGTGGTTCTCGGGGATTGTACAAGACCAAAAAGAGGCTACTAGGGAGTCCAAGAGTTTACTCCCTTGGAGTTTACGGCCCAAAGGCCACTCCTTGGGAGTTTACGGCTGTAAGCCTCATGGCTTGGCCGTGAACTCTTGTTCACTCCCCAATTTTGATGCTAAGGCCCTTAAATCAATCCCTTAAATTTTCTAGTGAAGGTCTAGGCTAATTAGGGGGTTTAAACCCTCATTTGGTGAGGTTTGGGGGAGTTTACGGTCTAAGCTTATGCTTGGGCCGTAAACTCTAAGTTACCCCACAAACATGATGTTTAATGGTCCCAAACTCGAAATGGAATTTCCTTCAATCATATCTCAAGCCTAAACATGCTTTGGAAGGGTTTTTGGGGCCTTTTTGCATGGATAAGGGGTGTTTATGGCCTAAGCATGTGCTTGGGCCGTAAACCCTCTTTTATGCCCTAAAAATTTTTGTTTTGATGATTAAACACTCCTAGGTAAATTCCTTAACTAGCATCTAAGCTTGATAGTAGAAAAATCGGGGATTTTGGCAACTTTTTGGGTGTTTACGGCCTAAGGAGGTTCTTAGGCCGTAAACTCCTTGTTCATGCCCCATTCATATGATTTGTGAGCTATAACAACAATAATGCATGTTTAGAACAATTTAGGGAGGAAAATTTTACGTTTGGGAGCCGGAAATTGTGGTTTTGGAGCCAAAAACGAGCTAGAGAGAGAAAGTAGTGAGAGAGAGAGTGTTTGAGTGGTAAAAGAGTTCAAAAAGGTGTTCACCTTCCTTATATATGCCTCGGGTATTGCACCCGGTACACGACTACCCGATGCTAAAGTTTAACGGGGTTTAAACTTTTTACCCGGGTTAAGTGGTTGAAAAATAATATAACTTTATT